GGAAGGAAGCATAGATAGAGTTCCTATACCCCAGGCAGCACAGAACCCATAAACAGCCTTCATGTCTGACGCAGAAGGTATAATACTTGTATTTTTCGCATTACACGGGTATTATGAACATTAGCTGACATTTTATTGGTTGATCATATCTTACATATTACCTTGGTCGAATTATTTCCAAATAACTAATTCAGAATTAAAATTCAACAGAAAAATACATCACTTTCTCTATACAAGTTTCTTTTAAAAAACGATTTTTATTAAAGGATGTTTCTCGCGTGTGTAGATGAGAAATTCTTTATTTACACAATCTTTCTCTAGATAGCATTATCATTGTGAGAGAGGGAGTGTGAAGGAAAATAAATAATTATATACATAAAATATTTTCAAATTTCATGTTAAAGAATCAAATATATCTTTGTAGAGAGAGAGAGAATGACTAGGGTACGTCAGAGCCGTTTGGGACGGTCATATTACTGTCATTTTGTTCATCAGATCCAGCACAGAAACAATCCTCATCTGCAGATCTCTAGCCGCACGTTCAACATGCTGGATACCTTGGTGTGGGACTTTGTGGGCAAAGTCAGTATGGACGCTGCACTACAGACCGAAACAGATGATCGATCCACTCTGCTTCCTATTGGACATCCAGGAATGCCTGAAGCGATATTTGGGTGACGGAATTCTTTTCCGTAGCTCAAAAGACTTCGCCAAAATCTGCCTTCAGAAATACGACCGCCGACAGAAGCACCATCAACGCTCTAAACATATATCCTCCGCTTTGGGAAAATGAATAGAAGAATATCGAAATTTCTCTTTCTCTCCATTTCCAAGTAAATTATTTCTTCGGTTGCCAGTTATTCCTGATTAAAAAAGAATTGCCAGAATACGTTTTGAAATTCTTTATTTCCTTCTTCATTTCGTTCTCCTTTTCTTCATTTTATCCATCAGAACATTCATTATCAATACGAAGTAATTTATCCATCTAAATAGCGTTTATGAAATCATTTTAATAACACCATAAATATAAATTTACTCTCAATGATATACTCAACGCTATACCTTCACAGATTTGTAAAATTATCTATGCGAAAATTTATAAAAATATCTTGCCTAACTTCCTGGCAAAATAAGCCCTTTTATTACAAATTCCAACTAAATGATTGTTATTAAGACAAAGCATTCGGTATTTAGGCTTATCGAGTGTGTTTCATTTATATATTAACAAGTTGTATTATAATGCATTAGAGCGCTGTCTGTTATCAAAATTCGAAAATATTATAGACGCGTATAATTATTTTAAAAAATAAACAATTTCTACTGCCCAAACTGTTGAAACCGCTGAGAGGGTTCACCACTGATGAGCCAGGCCCTCCCATTAATTTTTCCATTGCAGTATGGACAGTAGAAATTGTTTATTTTTAAAAAAGAATCATACGCGTCTATAATAGTTTCGCGTTTTGATATTAATAAATAGTAAAAATGACCGAGGCAATCCATAGTTTCCTTCATAAACCACATCTAAACATACAAGTATACGTATATATTGAAGCCTGTTAAACCAATTTAACAATAAAGAATTTTTAAAGTTTTCTTTAGATAACAAACACCAAAGGTAGTTGATTTTTCTCTGGTGATATAAACACTCTTCAGGACCAAAAGGTAAATCCCAGAAATGATCGTTAGTTCTGTAAAGATCCCTCAGAGGTACCATTCGTGATGCACACGAAATTTCCTACCTCCGTGGTGGTCCTTGGCATTATCATCAGTGAAGGTGATGTCTCTTTACTTTTTTAAACAAGTACGCTGGATTTACACTGATATCTAAATCAATGTTCTGGAAGCCGTCGTGAAACTTAGAATGAACAGGATGACAGCAAAAGTGGTTATGTCTTCCAACAGGACTCAGTTTCAGCCCACATGGCAAAAGAAGACACGGGCATGGCTGACACCTAACGTATCAAGCAACTACATCACCTATATTTAGTCTACAAACTTCCTTGATTTCAATACACTTGACTAACAGGTATGTGGGATTCTTGAGATAAATGTAAGTAAAGCCCTCCATAACACCACTGTAAAGTATGCGGTTTATATGGCAATGACAAAAATGGACAATGTCAACGTCGCCAAGGCCTGTGCATCATTTCCCAATCGCCTCGAGTCTATCGTAGCTAATAATAGAGACTAGAGTGAAAATATCAAAACATTATCATATCACATCTTCCATGTCAATTATCATTTCAATATATTGATAACGCGTTTAAAAACATTTTAAATTCCATCATAGATTTTTCCAGTTTACCTGATACATCCTAGCGCGGTGGATCCACTTGGAAAACCAAGTATACCATTTAGCCATTTCTATTTAATATTTTCGAAAAAATCTAACTCCTTAGCTTCTCCCCTCTTTGAATGTTTTGTCTTATACTCATACTTTAGAATTTGATAGGCTGAGATCATTCCACGCCGACCATAAAACTCTAAATATTATTTTTAAGACGAAATAAATGGTATAAATTTTCCTGATTAATAAATCCATACATTGATGTTGTTTTGGATAATCTACCCAATTCAACCTATTTGAAAACAGGCTTGAGTGGATTGTTCTGGAAGGTCAAAATAAGATATTTTTTAAATGTTTCACACAGTATAAACAACTCTAACTCAATTATAAAGCCAACCTGAAAAAGGATGTTTATTATTCTGAATTTGTTGTCTTCTATTGAACTAGAAATGGATAAATGTATACGAGAGTTCTAATGGAATTCTAAAAATAGGTCGCATAACATTTTTATTGCTTCTATTTTCCTTTGCCAAAGGATCAGTCTAGAGATTGGAGATATTGAGGAGGTTTAATGGGAGGATGGCCATTTTTTCATCTCGGCTTGGTCACTATGAAGCGATCTAGTAGGAGCAAGGTCCAGGGGGGGGGGGGGGATCGGGAGTTTGTATTTCCAGATGACGATAGAAAGATGAGCAGGAAGTGAGGCTCGGATAGGTAGGTGTTGGTTCAAGAAATTCATCTTTTATCCAAGTGATATCTCGTGAGCATCAGCCAGCTGGATGTAAGCGTGGGTTTTGACTTCAGCCGGGAGATCGAGATTTGAAGTTCATGGTTCCTCGACATCAAGGAATGTACATTGATACATGAGGCTCAGTGGTCAGAGCGAGTGCGTTGGTTCAAGATTGGCAAGTAATATTGAGCTTGTTGTTAACCATCATTAGAGCAAAAACATCTTCAGGATACCCTTCTTGCAATTTGGGGACAGGAATCAAGGTTTCCAGTAGCCGGGGAAAATACTTCGATTCAAGATAATCATTGAAACAGCAAGAGCATGTCTTCAAGGCATCAATATTTCCGAGGATCATCATGAGAGCAGATTTCCTGGCATCGGCTTCAGGAAGGGATAATGGCCATCAGAAAGCTGTCTTGACAGGCTAATGAAAAAGATGGATAGCTAGAGGAGTATTTTAACTAAACTGTGTCTAATTCATTTCATCGTTGTAACTTTGCCGCATTATTTCTGGAAGTGCACACTCTGTTATGCCTGAGAGTAACACTGTTAACCTTGTCGTATTAGTACTAACCACGGCCTGAACTTACACCATTTATTTGTTACTAGTTATTCAGAGCCTATATAGATTAAAACGTTGTTTTAACTCTACGATTGTCTCTTTTTGTTTTGCCAGACATAAGGACCTGTTAATGAATTTTGAAAAAACACTCAACCAATCCTCTAAAATTAAGAATTTTGAAGTAAAAAAAGCCAATGAAAAAGTATTTACAACGCCTTTAAAGCCCTATGCAGGTCCTTAAGCCCAGAAAAACAATAAAAAACAACCATAAAGATAAAACTAACGTAATCACTGGCATCTGAATAACTAGAACAAATAGTGGCATAAGGCCCTACCGCAGTCAGAACGGCCACGACAATTTTAACAAGTGTCACAAACAGACACAACAAAGGATACACTACACAAAAACAACACGACAGAATTACAACGACAAAATAAACTAGGCACAGCCTAGAAAAAAAGCTCCTAAAACTATCCATCTCTCTCAAATACCTGTATCTCAAGCCGACACTCAACGCAACAATGTAACACTCCTTAGCAACTATTTCTAAACACTTCTTTTCCTTTTAAAAAGTATTAATACATACACACATACATCTTTATTAAGACCACCGGTCTTATACAGATTCACCGCAGGAAAGAAGCATAGATGAAGATTCTATATTCCAGGCAGCACAGAACCCAACAATAGCCTTCTGGTATAATATCGGTATTTTTCGCATTACACGGAAATTATTGGCTGAAATTTTATTGACAAATCCTATCTTACATATTACCTTTGTCGAATCAATTCCAAATAACTACTTCAGAATTAAAATTCAACAGAAAAATATACCACGTTCTTTATACAAGTTTCTTCAAAAAATGAGTTTTATTGAAGGATGCTTCTGGCGGTTTAGATGAGAAATTCTTCATTTGCATAATATTTCTCTAGATAGCATTATCATCGTGAGAGAGGGAGTGTGAGGGCAAATAAATAATTATATATGCAAAATGTAAAACCACATTTGAAAATATATACCGCATGTGTTTCCTTTCAACGAAAAATAAAAATTTATTTCAAGGAGAAATAACGATTATTTCTAACCTTAAGGGTGAGGTATGAAAGGATGAATTGTGAAGAGTAATGATAAACGGAAAAATAAAAGTGTCCAGGGACGGGAATCGAACCCACAGTGTTCCGCTTACCGGGCAGATGCCATGTCCACTAGACTACCCTGGACATATTTTTCCGTTCGTAAATAATATTTAAAGTAATTTATAATACAATATAATATAATGCGGCTTGTGATTGTAAAACGACATTTGAAAATTTATACCGCATGTGTTTCCTTTCAACGAAAAATAAATATTTAATTAAAGGAGAAATAACGATTATTTCTCAACTTAAGGGTGAGGTAAGAAAGGATGAATTAGGAAGGGTGAAGGAGCCTAGTGGACATGGCATCTGCCCGGTAAGCGGAACACTGTGAGCTCGATTCCCATCCCTTGACACTTTATTTTTCCGTTTATCATTACTCTTCTTAATTCATCCTTTCATACCTCACCCTTAAGGTTATAAATAATCGTTATTTCTCCTTGAAATAAATTTTTATTTTTCGTTGAAAGGAAACACATGCCGTATAAATTTTCAAATGTCGTTTTATAATCGCTAGCCGCATTATATTATATATGTAAAATATTTTCAAAATTCATGTTAAAGAATCAAATATATCTTTGTAGAGAGAGAGAATATGTTATTTAAGTTTAGTTTACATAATGTGACTTCCCTATTTATGTAAAAACTCTCAATCACACACAGCTCTATATTAGGAATACCTCGTAAATCACGACAACCATTAAGGAATCTGTAAAAACAGTTTTATGACCTCAGCAATTTCTTTTCTTGTGTGATGTGAAGATTGGACCTAACAACCCGATCTTTCCACATTTATATCATATTTGTCTTTTCTATGTAGAGATGAACAATGCGCTATGCAAAATTTGCATATATGTCTTAGGTTTTCATCATATAAGTTTATATAGTTAAGTTGAATATAATGTTACGTAGAAAAAAAAAGCACATTCCAGAATGGAGAGAGAATATTCTAGAACATTTAAGAATCATGTAGAAAAAGCGGAAGACAACTGATTGGCCAATCTAAAGTATTGCGCAACGCTCGGTGCTGGCGGCTTTCTGATTGGCTGACCAACGGTGACCGTTCTGGAAAGATCTACTCCGGTATATATAGGGATGAGACACTCATGCCGGGGGAGGAAGAAAGATAAGAAGTGAGGTAGAAGAACGAAGCTACGTGGTGGACTCCAAGCAAACGCTGCTGTCTCAAGAGGTCGGACTGCTGCTTACCGCCGACGCTGGTGTACTTCCTGGAAGATTCTAGAAGGTTCTACGAACTTCTGTCTCCTATTCTGCTCCTGCTCTTCCTCACTGTGCTGAAGTTGGTAGGTTTGTAACTGCTGTTTTCTTTATTTTTGTTTCATTTTGCACTCTTCTGTAATTATTTTATCGATTAGGCTTAAATAAAGTCCTAAAGATCCTTTATACCCACGGAAGTTATTCTTTGTCAACCAACAACGCAACAATTTGGTGTCAGAAGTGGGATCTTTAGGTGAATCCAGAATAATTTATGGTACTTACCCGAAAAATGGAAGAAATATTGAAAGCGATCCAAGCTATGCAAGCTCAAAACGAGGAAACTCGTGAAGCTATTCAGGCTCAAAATAAAGAAACTCGTGAAGCTCTAAACGAGGCTCTTCAAGCTCAAAATCAAGAAACTCGTGAGGCTATTCAAGCTCAAAATCAGGCTCTTCAAGCTCAAAATAAAAAAACTCGTGAGTCTATTCAAGCTCAAAACCAGGCTCTTCAAGCTCAAAATCAAGAAACTCGCGAGGCTTTTTAAGTTCAACATCAAGAGATAAAAGAAAGCTTGGGGCTTAAATTCAAATGCTTAGAAGATGAAATCTCCTCTGTAAAAGAAGAAATGAAAGATAAAATATCTGCTTTAGAAGAGAGACTTGCTGCTGTGGAAACGGGCCATCCAAGAACTCCGGTTTTCCAGCAAGAAAATAACAATTCGGGTAGGCCTCTTGTCAAAGTTCCTACCTTTGATGGACAATCATCATGGACCTCCTTCAAAACCCAGTTCGATGTGGTTGCCCAAGCTAACGGATGGAACGTTAGAGATAAGGCAAGCTTTTTGGCTGCTGCACTTCGTGGACCTGCAGTGGATATACTCCAGATGATTCCGGAACAACTCCCAGATTGACACTCTGGATTCCCGATATGGATAAGAACACTACCAACAGCTTAATGTGGTGAAGTTCAAGAATAGACTACAATAAAAGAAAGAAATTTTGCAGGATTTGGCCCACGACATCCGACGCCTGGCAAGATTAGCCTTTCCAACATGCCCTCCTGAAATACAAGATTTTATGGCCCAACAACAGTTTATTGATGCCATCGGAGACCCTGAAACCCAGAGGTTTGCCAGACTATCAAGTGCGACTACTCTACGAGAAACCCTAGTCCAAGCCATGAAGTATAAAACTGCCCAACAAGCCACAATAGAAAGTTATCGCGTGGCTAGACAAGTTAAATGGGATAATCCAGAAAGAAAAAGGGGTCGCTGCTGGACTTGTGGATCCTTTGATCACATTTCTCCAACTTGCCCCAGAAAAGTAAAACAACGCAGTGATACCGACTGCTGGAGATGTGGACAATATGGCCACATGAGAAGAAACTGTCCGGAAAATTCTGAAACCATCACAGCCCCTAAAAGAACCATGGGAGATGAAACGATGATGCTGATGCCTTATCAAGAAGGCCGTGTGTTCCACAAAGTGGAATATATATTGGACGCCATCCTGGCGTCTGCCAGACCCACATCTATAGGTACTTCCTCGGCGTGGAACTGAGGAGTGTTCAAGAAGACCTTGTCTGGAGGAGAACTCTCTCAAGGTGGGGAAGTCTTCCTTGCTGAAGAAATTTGTACACATGCAACTACGATATATATATATCTACATTTTATCTACACGTTATTCACTCATTTATTATATATTATCTTTTATTTTATCTTAATTATTCTCTGTAGCTGTAGTTCTGTAGTTGTAATTGTATATTGAATATAAAAAAGGCAATTATATTGCCACGTGGAAAATTAGAGAAGACAAAAACTTCAGGAGGAAACAAAATTTATTTCAGGCAAGGCCAAAATATCAAAGGTAAACAAAAGATAAGCCACGAGGGAAATTTACCGAGTCGCAAGATATAAAACATAAAAATGACCACTCTGTTAAATAAAAAATAATAAAATTAAGAAATACCATGTTACATAAATAAAATTAATAAATACTATGTTACATAGCTTCTTCCCTATGGGAGCTGTGACCCACAGCTAGCAATTATTGTAGATACTGACATGGATCTGACGTGCTTCTGCCAAAGATTCCATCGAAGTCTTGGAACTTTGTCCCTAGTACCTTTGCGTCCATTTTCTTGCGGCGTGAAGAGCGGCTTTGTCGTCGTATCGTCTATAGGGACATCGTCATCTTCGAGGGAAGTCTTGGCTTTAGCACGGCGGTGGAATCCTGATGTCAGTCTCCGAAAATGTAGATCACAGCACCCATGGCTTCAAGGTCTTCTCGGCGATCTTCAGTTTGTCTTCCCTAACTTACCCAGCATCTCCACCAAAATGCCACGTGGAAAATTAGAGAAGACAAAAACTTCAGGAGGAAACAAAATTTATTTCAGGCAAGGCCAAACTATCAAAGGTAAACAAAAGATAAGCCACGAGGGAAATTTACAGAGTCGCAAGATATAAAACATAAAAATGACCACTCTGTTAAATAAACAATAATAAAATTAAGAAATACCATGTTACATAAATAAAATTAATAAATACTATGTTACAATAATATGATTTAAGGCCAATCATTTCAGCAAGTAATTATATAATTAATATTATAAGCTTTTAGTTTTTTAGTGAGATTTCCTTTATATTTACTAAATTGGATAGTAAATTGATAGCTTCAAGATAATATGGTGAAAGATGTTGAAAAAAATACAAAGATTTCTTACAATATTTTCCTCTTTTTTTTGTGTGTGTGTGTTTAAAAATGCAAGCTTTCAAGTGAGATAATCCGTTTTTCAAAGGACCTAATTATTAATTAAGTCTCTGTTTTTTACTTAAGACTGTTGAAGAGAGATTATCACTTGAAAGCTAGCATTTAATAATAAAAAAGAAAACTTATTGTAAGAAATCTTTGTAGTTTTTTTAATTGCTGACTTACACTTTATCAGTAATAAGCTGTTGGCATTATGATTTTATTAAATAAGGCAACAGGTTTCTGTAGATAAGTTTATCTTCTATGTTTATTACAATCTCAAGCTTTCGGGTATTATCCCCCTTCTACAAGAGTACAAAAATGAACAATGATAATACGCCGTTAGATAAATATTTTAAAGAAAAACAGAATCGCGTGAGGGGATGAGTTTCTTGTAAGTTTTTTTTATTTATTTATACAAGTTTTTGAGTATTTATTCTCTCATACGTTATTATTTTTTATTCCTATTGATAGGCAAAAATACACTAAAATCACAAATAAATAACAGAATTCTAAAAGAAAATCTTAACCTCACGATTTTGTTCTTCTCTAGGTATTAAATGATGTTTTTTTAATTTTATATAAATATTAGAAGAATCTTCAAAAATATACAGTTAAACCTGTCTATAGAGCCCCCTCTAAATAGCGCCTCCTTCTCTATAGCGCCCGATTTTAAATAAGTAGTACGATGCGATTTACATTAAAAGTGACCTGTCTAAAACACCCTATTTTGGTGAGTCCCAAGAGGGGACGTTATAGACAGGTTTAACTGTACATTTAAGTTATTTAAGTTTAAAAATCATATATCTGTGACAGCAATCTTTAGAGAAAAAAAGCTTTTCTACTGTCAAATTTAATAATTAAAAGAAGATATACAGAATATTTATACAGACACAAATTTCTCATTAATAAATAAAACATAACCTAATAAAAATTAATTCAAAAAAGCAAATTTCTTTTATATTTGATAAGTAAGAAAAACATTATAAATTTAGATAAGCAATAAAAATATTTACTTTTAACTTTGCATATTCAATCTTTCGTACAAATCGTTTGGTTAATTTAAATTTAAATAAAACATCTCAAAATAAAATAGCTAGAGAATTCTTTTATCTAAATTCTAATCAGAAGCCTTTCATTTAAAATGAATCCTTTTGTTCTTGAATAAATTACTAGCAAGCCCTTAATATATTTTATTTGATGCCCTAATTTTCAGATATTTATTTAAATAATGTATTTTTGTAAGTCTTTTAATCTATGAAATTTCCTATCTTGTTATTTTATATTTTTAATCTTAAAATTTAGTTTTGTAAAATATTTTTTATAAAAACTTCTTTATTTTGAATATTAAAACCTTTTTGAAATTTTATTATTTAATATTCATTGATGTT